CTGCAGGTGACATAAGACGAAGGAGACACGTTATTCGGAGACCCTTCCCAACGGGGAGACGCGAAAACGGCCACCCTAACTCTTAGCCCCGAGACCCAGAAATCTTGTTTTCGCTTTTGGTATTTTTAAGGTTCGCAATCAAGTCTGCAGGAAAGCGATAACTTTACAAACCAAGTTCCCAATTACCGTATTTTCCGGCGTATAAGACGACTAGGCGTGTAAGACGCCCCCCCCCAACCTTTCCAGTTAAAATATAGAGTTTGGGATATACCGTATTTTTTGCCCTATAGGACACACTTTTCCCCCTCCAGAAATGAAGGGGAAATGTGTGTGCGTCCTATGGGGCGAATGCAGGCTTTCGCTGAAGCATGGAAAGCGAGAGGGGTCGGTGCGCACTGACCCCTCTCGCTCTCCAGGCTTTAGGAAGCTATCCGCAAGCCTTGGGAGCCCACGGGAGTTCCCGCCAAGCTCCCAAGGCTTGCGGACAGCAGCTTGCAGCCCCAAACCCGGGGAGCGCAGTGGGGTGCGCCCTGGGCTTTGGGCAGATATCCGCAAGCCTGGAGAGCCCGGCGGGAGTTCCCTTGCGGATAGCAGCCTGTTCTGGGGTCTGGGGTCGGGGGAAGCTTGGAAAATTTCCCCAAAACTTTATTCCTCTGCCGGAGGGGGATGGAAGAATCCATTTCGCAAGTTTCGTCGGTAACGATGATTATTAGGCAATTGTTGGGCAAGAGACCTGGAGTTTCAAAGTAGTTGGTTTTGATGACTAAAGAGAAGGAAAATAAACACGCTGAGTTAGGACAGTGGAGGGGATCCGGAAGGTGGCCATCACCTCGCCAACAAAGGTCTGTATAGTTCAAGCTCTGGTTTCCCCAGTAGTGATGTATGGAAGTAAGAGCTGGACCATAAAGAAGGCTGATCACCAAAGAATGGATGCTTTTGAATTATGGTGCTGGAGGAGACTCTTGAGAGTCCCATGGAGTGCAAGAAGATCCAACCTCTCCATTCTGAAGGAAATCAGCCCTGAGTGCTCACTGGAAGGACAGATCCTGAAGCTGAGGCTCCAAGACTTTGGCCACAACATGAGAAGAGAAGACTCCCTGGAAAATACCCTGATGTTGAGAAAGATGGAGGGCGCAAGGAGAAGGGGACGACAGAGGACGAGATGGTTGGACAGTGTTCTCGAAGCTACCAGCATGAGTTTGACCAAACTGGGGGAGGCAGTGGAAGACAGGAGGGCCTGGCGTGCTCTGGTCCAGGGGGTCACGAAGAGGCGGACACCACTAAACAACAACAACAAAAGTCCTTTCCAACTGGCCCCCCAGGAGTCTCCCCAAGACCACACCCACTCCCCGAAGCCACGCCCCTCCCTGGTTCTGATTGGAGCGTTTGGGCCCAGATGGAAAACTCTCCTCTCGATCCCGCCTCTCGCTTACCTGGGTGTAAGGAAGAGAGGGGCTGGTTGTGGGTTTAGAAACTAGCCTGGCAGTACAAAAAAAGTAAAATTCACGCCCACTGCACTGCCCACTTTCACCTCTGACCCTGCCCACCTGGCACACGGCCCCCAGAAGGGCAGTGTGGCCCTCGGCACCCATAAAATGCTTCCCCCATCTCTCTTCCAAGAGGGCATTTGGGAAAGAAATTGGTGCCTCTTTTGCACAGGAACATTTCCCAATTCAATTTCTTTTATTCTTCTGGGGGGGGGGGCCCACATTGCTGCCAGAAACCAAGATTTCACCAAGCAAGCAAGACGTGTGTGGCGCTGTGGGTTAAACCCCAGAGCCTAAGACTTCCCGATCAGAAGGTCGCGGTTCGAATCCCCGCAATGACGGGGTGAGCTCCCGTTGCTCAGTCCCTGTTCCTGCCAACCTAGCAGTTTGAAAGCACACTAGTGCAAGTAGATAAATAGGTACCACTCTAGCGGGAAGGTAAACGGCGTTTCCTTGCGCTGCTCTGTTTCGCCAGAAGCGGCTTAGTCCTGCTGGCCACATGACCCAGAAGCTGTACGCCGGCTCCCTCGGCCAGTAAAGCGAGATGAGCGCCGCAACCCCAGTGTCGGCCACGACTGGACCTAATGGTCAGGGGTCCCTTTACCTTTACCTTTAAATGATATTGAGCGTCAGACAACTTGGCCACAATAAGGACATTTTGCCCATGGCATAACTGTTTTCCACCTTCCCACTTTGACTCTCTGGCACCGTCTCTGCATCACCTAGCAATTCTAAAATATAGACTTTTACTCCCTTTACGCACTTTTACTCTCACAAGATTGAATGTCTTGCCCTCGGCTGTTCTTGAGGGACGATTCAAACAGATTCCATACGAAAAACGCTTCTGTCTCTGTGGAGATGGCAGACCCGAATCAGTGGCACATGCCCTTCTGGCTTGCCCACAGGGTGGTTTGCAATATAGAAACACAAACAGGGACACGGGTGGCGCTGTGGGTTAAAACCACAGAGCCTAGGGCTTGCCGATCAGAAGGTCGGCGGTTCGAATCCCCGCGATGACGGGGTGAGCTCCCGTTGCTCGGTCCCTGCTCCTGCCAACCTATAGCAGTTCGAAAGCACGTCAAAGCGCAAGTAGATAAATAGGTACCACTCCGGCGGAAAGGTAAACGGCATTTCCGTGCACTGCTCTGGTTCGCCAGAAGCGGCTTCGTCCTGCTGGCCACATGACCCGGAAGCTGTACGCCGGCTCCATCGGCCAGTAAAGCAAAATGAGCGCCGCAACCCCAGAGTCGGCCGCGACTGGAGCTAACGGTCAAATCGCTTCTGTCTCTGTGGAGATGGCAGACCCGAATCAGTGGCACATGCCCACAGGGTGGTTTGCAATATAGAAACACAAACAGGGACACGGGTGGCGCTGTGGGTTAAACCACAGAGCCTAGGGCTTGCCGATCAGAAGGTCCGCGGTTCAAATCCCCGCAATGACGGGGTGAGCTCCTGTTGCTCGGTCCCTGCTCCTGCCAACCTAGCAGTTCGAAAGCAACACAGTGCAAGGAGGTACCGCTCCGGCGGGAAGGTAAACGGCGTTTCTGTGCGCTGCTCTGGTTCGCCAGAAGCGGCTTAGTCCTGCTGGCCACATGACCCGGAAGCTGTACGCCGGCTCCCTCGGCCTATAGAGCGAGATGAGCGCTGCAACCCCAGAGTCGGCCGCGACTGGACCTAACGGTCAGTGGTCCCTTTACCTTTAGAGCAAGCAAGGAAAATGAATTACCCGCTCGGAAAACTCAGGGCACGGTCAGAAAAGCACCCTCAACCCCAAAGAGTGGTCTCTGTGGGAATGCAGGGGAGCCGGCGAATTGCTAATTTCCCAAGGTTTCCCAGGAAAGAGACTTGTCAGGTTTGTTTCAGCCTTGGTGGTTAATGGCAGGAAGATGTGTTCTTTAAAGGCAGAGGCGCCCGGCTCGAGGCAAAAGGGAGTTGGGGACCCGGGGACGGCTGGAGACTTTTGTTTTCGAAAACCGAACCAAGCCCAGCCCTGTAGCTAATGAGAGGCTCCGCGAGCAGAGAAAACTGCAGCATCAGCAACTCTGCAAAGAAGCACACAACGTCCAGAGCCCCATGTCGTCCCGCTGCGGGCGACAGAGAGGTGTGCCGTGTAGAGGAGCAGTCAAAAAGCACGGGCGAATTAGCAAGCTGTTGCTCAATTTCCCATGCTTTGAACCTAAGAAGAGCCCTGCGGCTGGATCAGGCCCAACTGGGAGCCACCTGACGCAGGATCCCGTCCTCACCGTTGACCACTAGATCCCTCAAAGAGGGAATCTATACAGTGGTACCTTGGGTTACATACGCTTCAGGTTACAGACTCCGCTAACCCAGAAATAGTGCTTCAGGTTGAGAACTTTGCTTCAGGATGAGAACAGAAATTGTGCTCCGGCGGCGAGGCAGCAGCGGGAGGCCCCATTAGCTAAAGTGGTGCTTCAGGTTAAGAACAGTTTGAGGTTAAGTACGGACCTCCGGAAGTACTTAAGCAAAGTTCTTAACCTGAAGCACTATTTCAGGGTTAGCGGAGTCTGTAACCTGAAGCGTATGTAACCTGAGATACATTGAAACTCGGGTTACAGACGCTTCAGGTTGTTTCTTCGGGTTGCAGACCGCCGAAACCCGGAAGTGCCGGGTTATTTCTGGGTTTCGGCGGTCGTGCATGCGCAGAAGCGCTGAATCGCAACCCGTGCATGCGCAGACGCGCCGCTGCAGGTTGCAGACGTGCCTCCCGCATGGATCACGTTCGCAACCCAAGTGTCCATTGTAATTTATTATCTATCCCCTGCCCATCTGGCTGGGTTTCCCCAGCCACTCTGAGCAGCTCCCAACAGAATAATAATAATAATAATAATAATAATAATAATAATAATAATAATAATAATAAAGCAATAAAACATCAAAAGGTTTAAGGTCTCCGCCTCGCTCGCTTTTAAACCGTGCCAGTCTCAACCAGCCCGCCTACAACTGTTGAAAGCATGTACAGTATTTTTCGCTCTATAAGACGCACCAGACCACAAGACGCACCTAGTTTTTGGAGGAGGAAACCAAGAAAAAAAATATTCTGAATCTCAGAAGCCAGAACAGCAAGAGGGATCGCTGCGCAGCGAAAGCAGCAATCCCTCTCGCTGTTCTGGCTTCTGGGATAGCTGCGCAGCCTGCATTCGCTCCATAAGACGCACACACATTTCCCCTTGCTTTTTAGGAGGGAAAAGTGAGTCTTATAGAGCAAAAAATACGGTAAGTGAAATTGCGCACAACGCAACCGTGCTGAACACGCGCGCAGGAGGAGACGATATGTGAACCCGCCCGACGCAGGGAGATTCTGGCTCCCCGCTGACCGAATCGCGACGACCTCCGGCGTGTGACGGCAACGCGCCTCTCCCCCTTGGCAAGCTGCCTCTCCCCTCGCTGGGTTCCCCGGCGGCGGAAACTGGGTGCCCCTGCTCCCAGCTATTAATAGGCAGCTGTCAACAGGAATGTCTCTCTCTGGCACCAGTTGCTGTCCTCCTGCCCGGC